TCTAATTTTTGATTATCATATTCATTAAAATTTTTCATCTAATACTTGAGTTATCATTTATTATTATTTATTGAAGTGTTAGTCTCTTTTAGTACTTAACTTGTTTGTATTATTTATCAAGATGTGTATTCCACTGTAAAATCATTTTGATAAAGTGTGAGTCGTGTTAAAGTCCATTAAAGATCAACATTGTATAAAGATCTATGTTTCTTGTTGTAAGTCACCGTGTTGATCATATTAAGGTCATGTGAAAGCTATATAGTGGGTCGTGTTGAGATCCCATAAAACTCAATATTGTATAAGGATCGGTGCTCCTTATTTGTTAGTCACTGAAAGCTATGTAAAAGATTGAATTGCACCATAAGTCAATCAATATAGTAAAAATGTCTTACTCGTATCGGAGAGTTTGGTAACGAAAGACATTGATCATTGCTTTGAATCAAACCTCCACAATTATATCTTTTACATCATCTCCCTTTTATTTATCAATTTTATATTTGTGTTTATTATTTAAATTAATCTATTTAATCTTTACTTGCTTGAATTTAAATTAATTCTTCGAAAAAGTTTAAAAACCAATTCACCCCCTGTTAGTTAGTTATTATTGGACTATCATAAACTTTATCGATACACTTATATAACTAGAACAAAAATATTAGGAATACCCTTGAAAAACAAAACATTGATGCAACAGATATTTTAGTCAATTAGATTTGACCATGTTGCATATATTACTATCGATGTTCATTCTAACATTTACTCGATAATATGTGTGGATCATGAATTTCTCATCACTGCATAATTTATTAAGACTGTGTTTGACTTTCAATTTTTCAAAACTTATTTTCAACCATACATTTTGTCTTAAAATAATTTTACATATAAACCCAAAATTTTACTTTTCTTTTTCCACACATTCTTTAAAAAATTACCATTCCAAAATATATTATGCTCCAAAAATGGGGATCAAAAGGGGTAACAATACCGAGAAGTGATACACGTACAGGGGGAGGGGGTGGATTCACTGCCATGCCACTAATAGAGGGGGTGGGGGGTGTATTTTTTTTTTCTTTTTTTTTTTAAATGGGGCCCTCCAGTGTGAGTAACTGGCAGGCCACTGTAGGTTTTGCTCCTGTACTTGGAGCAAAACACAAAATCACCATACATCACTCCAAATGTGATAATATGTGCCCAATAGCATGTAAAGTCAAAAATTTAACAAAATTTAATTGATAATTACCTTCTAATGTCAGCAAAGGCCAAAGAAANATTCATCAAAATTTTTCATCTAATACTTGAGTTATCATTTATTATTATTCATTGAAGTGTTAGTCTCTCTTAGTACTTAACTTGTTTGTATTATTTATCAAGGGGTGTATTCCACTGTAAAATCATTTTGATAAAGTGTGAATCGTGTTGAAATCCATTAAAGATCAACATTGTATAAAGATCGATGTTTCTTGTTGTAAGTCACCGTGTTGATCATATTAAGGTCACGTGAAAGCTATATAGTGGGTCGTGTTGAGATCCTGTAAAACTCAACATTGTATAAGGATTGGTGCTCCTTATTTGTAAGTCACTAAAAGCATTGTAAATGATTGGATTACACCATAAGTCAATGAATATAGTAAAAATATCTTACTCGTATCGGAGAGGTTGGTAACGAAAGACATAGATCATTGTTTTGAATCGAACCTCCACAATTATATCGTTTACATCATCTCCCTTTTATTTATTAATTTTATATTTGTGCTTATTATTTAAATTAATCTATTTAGTCTTTACTTACTTGAATTTAAATTAATTCTTCGAAAAAGTTTAAAAACCAATGCATCCCCTCTTAATTAGTTATTCTTGGACTATCATAAACTTTATTGATACATTTATATAACTAGAACAAAAATATTAGGAATACCCTTGAAGAGCAAAACATTGATGCAACAGATATTTTAGTCAATTAGATTTGATTATGTTGCATATATTACTATCGATGTTCATTCTAACATTTTACTCGATAATATGTGTGGATCATGAATTTCTCATCACTGCATAATTTATTAAGACTGTGTTTGACTTTCATTTTTTTAAAACTTATTTTCAACAATACATTTTCTCTTAAAATAATTTTACATGTAAATCCAAAATTTTACTTTTCTTTTTTCACACATTCTTCAAAAAATTACCATTCCCAAAAATATTATGCTCCAAAAATGGGGATCAAAAGGGGTAACAATACCGAGAAGTGATACACGTACAGGGGGAGGGGATGGATTCACTGCCATGCCACTAATAGAGGGGGTGGGGGGTGTATTTTTTTTTTAAAATGGGGTCCTCCAGTGTGAGTAACTGGCAGGCCACTGTAGGTTTTGCTACTGTACTTGGAGCAAAACACAAAATCACCATACATCACTCCAAATGTGATAATATGTGCCCAATAGCATGTAAAGTCAAAAATTTAACAAAAATAAATTGATAATTACCACGATTACAGTCGTTTCCGGTTTCTTTCATTATTATACCAACCTATCATTGGACATGCTCGAATCAACTTATGGGTCCATGAATTGGAAAATCACAGCCGCTCAACTAGAACAATGAATAATGGGGAAAAAGAACAAACAGCTTTTTAATTCATGTACTTTCCCGACTTAAAAATAGATTAATGTAGATACGGACATGCAGTGAGATACCATTTGACCCCACGACATCGTTTTCACCACACAGGAAAATGCCTTCCTCAAGCAATTATTAATACAAAAATTGTTAACAGTACTCTAACCCGGCAACATTTCTTTCACTCTTAAGCGGCTTTCTTGCAATAATTTTCAAGCCATTCCATCGTAACACTCTTTGGCCTCTCAAGTGGCAATCCAAGAGCTCGGTCCCATATAAGCTAAGGAAACATAGATTAGTACAAACCTCAGAATAAAAATTACAAATGGAAATTGAAATACGAGAAGAAGAAAGAGTAGGAGAAAGAACCTGCGAGCAAATACCGATTGCCCTTGATACACCAAAGAGAACAGTGTAGTATCTGGGAAAAATGATAATAAAATTGTTATTATCTTCGTGTTTTCATAATCGAGAGTCAAAACATACATTCAAGCGTTGAAAAGGAGAACAGAATTTATACCTTGCTTCAGTTAATCCATAATGGTTGAGCAACACTCCACTGTGGGCATCTACATTGGGCCAAGGGTTTTTAACCTACAAAGAGACAGATCCCAGGAGCAATGCTTCTTTAGGTGAGGTTTGAAAAGAGAATCTTCAGATCATTGACCAGTGAAATAACTACTTCAGCAATGATCTCTAGTGTGAAATCAGAAATAACAGCAAGCTTAAATGCAATATCTGAAGGTGGCGTACAAAGAGTAATCAAAAGCAAGCACTGCAGAATGATTGCATTAACAGGACATTTGAATTATTTCTTTAAAGAGTGCTGCAAATACAAAAATCATCATAGAGATTCATCTAAAATATTTATAATCACAATAAATGCCTGAACTATTCTCCATAAAATTCCTTAGGTAAACAGTAAGTATAGACATCAGTCGAACAAAATTTCCATATTGAAGATTATTTAATTTTATACTCCTCTTTCATTCTATTTTTATCATTTTCAACATATATAACACGGTCACAGAGTGTAACGATAAAAATTGCTCAAGGTATAACTAATAGAAACAGCATCATTTACCTTGCCAAGTTCTAAGAGTATTGGAGGCACTACTTCATAAAGATTTGAAACCTGCACATAAATCCAATCAATAGAAGAAATTTTAACACCTAATAATCAACACGCTACACCACATAAAGATACAGCCACATTACAATATCAAGGTTAAAGTGCAAACCAGTTTGAATAGCGGATCATCTGGCAAGTGCTTCAGTGCAAACTCTCTCTGGCATGTGTATCTTGGATCTGTCTTGCGCAAAACTCCGTGTCCAAATCCAGGAACAACCTGCAATTTGGAGAAATGGGTGAAAAAGTCGTACACAAAGTTATTTAACATAAAACAAAATTGTGAGACGAAGACACAGGGCAATGGAAAAATTCAACAACACTACCTTGCCACTGTTCAATGTTTTCCAGACATAGTCTTTCAAGTTTTCTTTAGTAACATTCTCTCCACACTCCTCTACCACAGATTTAATCCATAGTAAGACTTCCTGTAATAACATATAAAACACAAGCACAGGAGAAGTATTGTTATCAGCTTGCAATAATTCATCATAGTTGGAAGGATATTATTTTAAAAACAATCCAATTTGCAAAGAGAGCTAAGAATGACAGGAATTGATCACAGTTTTCTTTTCAGATTTGGGTGACCTACTTAGAGAAATTTCACTAATGTGATTACTGTCTCACGTCCATCAGGTTTGCCTTCAAGTCTGGTTATGGATCATGATAAAACTGGAATAATAGCTAATACTTAATTAAATATAGAACCAGCCACAATCTTTTGGCATTTCAGAGCCACATCAAGCTTGAGCTGATTCAAGAATAGTATGAAGTCTGACAACTTAAAATCCAAACAGCAACCAGGTTTGCTGCTTAAGAACCATGGCTATATGAATAGGAGCTCCAAGAGGATTGTTTTGCAGCCCCAAATGATTAAATTTCCCCATTGTCTTAAAGAAATAATTTGATGCATAACTACAATTGTTGCATGCTCCAGTAGGAATAAAAAAGGTAGAACCATATAATCTAGTGAGGAAAACTTCGATTTCTCAATAACACAGGCAAAGCATTGAGGAGTTCTTTGCAAATTATAGTGAAGGTGGAGTATAGCATAAAGGCAGATGATGACGTCAGCATCAAGACATCGACAATTACATTTAGAAATTACCACAGCATATTTTCATAAAACTACAGATAACAGTAAAACATTGATGCACCTGATTAGCCAAACCATGAAGTGGACCAGCTAATCCATTTAGTGCAGCAGCAAATGAGAGATAAGGATCTGAAAGTGCACTGGCGACCTGGCAGGTATAAAACAGTTAGCAAAGCAGTAAATAAGCACTGAACAAATTTCCAGTGTCAAGAATGTCAGAAAAGACAATTTATAAGTTCATCTAGGCAACTTCAACCAGATGCAAGCATTAGCAAGTCATTGAAATCGCAACATTTACAAAAAGATCATATAAAGACCCATCACTTACTAGGTGACCAGTATGAGCACTAACATTCCCGCCTTCATGATCACTGCATCACAGCATATAAATGTCAAAGGACGTCATCATCTGATTCAACAATTAAGTAGAACTAATTCCTTTCTATATTACATATATTGATAATCTATTATGTGATACACTAAAACCCACCTGTGTATGGTCAAATAAAGCCTCATAAGCTCTAGCATGTCGGGACTATCAAATCCCAGCATGTGTGCAAAATTTCCACCATAATCTAGGGAATCATCCATTGGTATAACTTGTTCATTCTTGTACATCCTTCACGTGTTGAAAGAAATGTCAATTGAAATAGATTGAAACTGTACCAATTCACACAAGGACATTAAACAGAACTCATTAAAGGATGTCCATATATATGTGTGTTTAGATTTCAATAAAAATGATGTGATGCAGTTATCGAACCTTCTATAGACATAAGCAGCTACAACTGGAACTTGAGCAATCAAATTTAGGGAGTCCTCATATGTTGGTTCCCAGTACCTAAAATGGGATAAAACCTCAAGCTTTAGCATAAAATATAGAAATTAACTTCTAATAAGAATACAAAACATGGTTAAAGACTCACTTTGATTTATGGATTCCCTTTTCATATGCCTTTTGGAATTCACTTTGAACCTTAAACACGAGGAATAATAGGAAATTTTCAGTTGACATCTCTTAGTGAAACATTATAACAATTGCAGAAAAAATCAAAATATGCAACAAGATAATAATAAAACAAAGAGGCAAGGCCATTGCAATGGCTGATCATGTTGTATGATCTAGTCACAAGTTATGTGCACGGTCCATCCAGCACAACAACTAGTTAATCGGCCAGCACATTTAGCAAAGGAATTAACAACTAATGACAATGATAATGAATTCCACAATGACAAATTTAATCACGATCACTGGCTCCAACTAAAGTCATTTTTATTGTCTGAAAGTCTCAGAAAATTTCCTTTTAAATGAGAAGTGACAAGTGGAAATGACATTTTTACCATGAATTTCTTACTGGTAGAAGACAAAGATTGCTACCCAATTATAATTGCTAAATATATAACTGTCATTTGTAAAAGTTGAATTGATTACACTCTAAAAGGAATAAGGAAAAAAAGAGCTAATCAACCGAAGCTTGTTTCTCTTTTCATTAATTGTGTGGTATGAAAAATTGCATCCTCACAAAAAAATTCCAAAACACAGACTCTGTTATTCCTGAAATATAAAACATGACAGGCAAAGCCATGAAACTAAAACCGAGGAAATTTAATATATGGGATTATTCCCACTAGAGGCAGCTCCAACCAGATATAGTAACTCAGATTCGTTATGCAAATTTATCAAGCCTCTTGTTTCCTTTTCACTATTTCAGCTTCCAAAAATGGTGGAGTTGAGATGAATCAGAATAGCAATGTATCATTTTGATTAGTTACGAGGAAAACGATCTTTACTGTCAATACCTTTAACATCTTTCTTGACTTAACACCTTCTACTTGCACTTCGTATAGACATCTTTTCTTAACACCTTCTACTTGTACTTCAGTGTACATTTCAAACAACTTTGATAAATATGCAACTCCGAACAGAGCAAGAAGAGACTTATAAATGCATAAAAAGAGATGAACAATCAATGAACATTTTAGGATGACCAAATGCATCAAAACCAGGTTGTAGAACCAAAACTCATCACTGAATATTACAGCCAGCGAAAATAGTAAATCAGTCCACCTGAAGGGCCATCACACCAGTGGCAAACTGTGTCATTGGATGAGCATTAACAGGTAAGGCATTGATGGTTTTGTAAACATGATCTGCAATAACAAATGAGAATTTACAGATGAAGACATTTGAATAGGTGACAAAAGCTTAGGACTACATCTTTAGCCTGCCAAACAGATATATACCATGCATAAATACTAAAAATCCAGGAGGAAAAAGAGCACAACTGCATATTATGATCCTATGTCACAACATTTTACAAAGTTCTACATTGGCTATGAACCTACCACAACCCTTCTTTACCTGAACTCAGGACAGCTACGAGATAAAAGAAAAGCACAAAAAATGAAAAACAGAAAATTGTAACACAAAAACCATCAAGGAACTAGTTGCAATGTAAATTAACTAATAATACTAAAATGAAAGTTTCATAAAAAATTTCAGTGTCTTCAGATACAACACAAATGAACATGTTGGCATAGATAGAGTTGGATAAATAGACATCAGACAGAAATTATTGAAGAACCATCATGTGATCAACTCTAAGCTGAAAAGATAGTATTGAGAGTTAAAAGGACCTGGGATGGTAGAACGACTTCTCAATTCCTTTGATAACGAATCTACTTGCTCTTTTGTAGGTACCTGAATAAATGTAGAGCAGATAACACAAGATTAACATCAAGCAAGTTAATGGGCCTAGAGGAACTTGAAAGCACAAAGCCTGTAAAAGGTGGCTCAATAACATATCACAACCTTCAAAAGCAGCTTTTACCTATACAGTCAGGAAAAACAACAGAGTGTGAACTATCCTTAGGGATTCAGTATTTCTTACGCCATTCTAGATAACAATGAAATCCCACCTTTCCCGTTAAAAGAAGCCAGAGGAGGCCCTCAGGCATTGGTTCTCCACCAGGCTTTGCTGCAGGTAATACCTTCTGGCATTCAGGAATAGATAAACCCCGGAAGCGAATTCCCTAAGAAAAAATTGAGGGAAAAAAAAAATTAGAAAATAAATATTACACAACCTCGGTTTTTAGACACTTGTGACAACTCTGCATGCCAAATGTATCCACTCAATGCACGATTATCTCATCAAAAGCTCAAAGTGACACAAAGGATGCGTACCTCTTCTGGATCAAGTAATGATGTTTCCCATAATAATCCAGTCATTCCTCTCATTCCACCAATAACCTTTCAGAAAGCACAGAAGTAGATGAACCAATTCCTCCGTTATCTATATTTCTTAAATACATGACAAAAGTGTAGATGTACTCCAATTATCCATTTCAATAGCCAGATTAGAGTGGAACAGAAGAGAAAGTGTACCATATCAACAGTTATGTTCCCCAGCTGAACCTTTCCATGCTCTGACTTGAGTTTCTTCAGACGCTCCTGTTACAAAAATAGGGATAACGTGATCAACATCAATATTCCCACCCTTCAACCGAGAAGCCCTTCACCAAAGCTGTGTTCAATTCATCAAATAAATAATGGAACAATCACGAAACGTGGGAGAGAGAGAGAGAGAGAGAGAGAGAGAGAGTGCGTGTGTGTGTGTTTGTTTGACTTTGCATGTGTGACAAGTATATAAACTTTCTTTTTTTCATTATTTATGTTAAAACAGAACAGCAGATATGAATCAAGAAGAGAATATACCGAACTCCATAGATGATCGAATAAGGATTTATCAAAGATAACAATCCCAATGAAAAGGCGAAGTAATAAAGAGAATTTTTTAATTAAGCATCCATTTGGCAAAATTTATAACTCATTTATGAATTGTCAAACTTTATTTTCAACTACACATTTCAATGGACATACACGTAGTATCCACCACTCATCTCTATCTATTTATAAATTAAATCATTTATAAATTCTCCCCAAACTGAGGCTAAATTGGAATCAAAAGGTTCAAATGGAAAGGAATTGATATAAACATTTCCCAGAAACAAAATTTTGCCACTTACAGCGTGTTTGGTAAGTGTTTATAAACAGTTAAAATTATAATTAGATATAAAGGAGTGGGGGATAAGTGAATAGTATTCGTGGGTCCTACATGGATAAAAAGTGATTTAAGCCAAACATGGGCTTAACCTCGTTAAAGTACGAGGTTTTATATGAAGGGAGGAAATACGAGTTTATTGGAATTTTAAACTTATTATGGACTATTATTTGGAAATTTAAGACAAATTTCAAGTGAATGAAGTATACAGTTACTAAAAATCAAAACTTCTGGCCTAGTAAAAGTACCTGCTGTTCTGGAATCAATTCTTTGAGCTGGGAATGAAGGTCCTGCAAGTAAGGCAATAGTTATATAACTTAAAAACTTCTTATTAAGTTGTTCCACTTCCACTTCCACAACACAAGCAATAGTCATAAAGATTAAAAAAAAAACAGGATTAGAAATCTTAATCACCAGTTTGTATTATTTCAAAAAACATAGAGTTCCAACACTTTGCAATTCTCCAACCCAGTAATCCCACTTCTCTTGACATTCCCATACCACAAAATTATTATAACCACACATACAATAATGAGCCTCCAATCTGTCAGATGTACACATTTTATCACTTGTAGAGCAAATTTCAGCATGTAATAAGCATTTCTACAATGACCATAATCAATAAAATCGCCACACCATCCTTCCAAGCACTTTCGCGACTGATACACCAATTTCGAAAGCAGCACTACTGGCGCTAAGCTAATAAACAATTAAAAAAATTGGAATATCTCTTTCCCTTCTACAATTGTAATTAAACAAAGAATATGGTTTCTAAGCATTCCTTTTCTCCCTCCTATTGATCCCAGATTTACAGAATCTTCCTAATACGTTGATCATAGCAGAAATTTGAAACATATTTTAAATGTTTTTTTCTCTCTTCAATTTCCTTCCCTTTTGCTTTATTGGTACAACAGAGGCCTGAAGGCCATACAATTTGTAACTCCAAGCCCTCTATTCCAGCATGCCAACTAAGAATTAAGTTTGCAATAACCAAAATGCAACCCAGACCAAATCAATGCACATTGATCCACAAGGAAATTACATAAGATACACCAATATTGTACACAAGCATACATACACACAGGCTTACAAGATCAGAGGAGGTCTGGACTTGAAGCCAGCGCACTGAATCTCGGAGGCTAGGCTGTTGAACCTATTATACAAAATAAATACAAGTAAAAAACTGTTGCAATGAATAGACAACGACCGAAAAACAGAAAATACTTACAGCGCGTGACCGCAGCTTGGATATTAGAGAAACGCCGCATTTAAAGAAAACCATTGTTCACTGCACCAACGCAAATATTTCAAACGAATCAGATATTTATTC